GAATTGGAAGGAGACAAGCGTGCTCTCTGTTGCAAGTATTATCTATCACTTATGTTTCTCACAGCCCTCCTTGACTTTTACTGACTATGTATTCTTTCTCCTCTTGCAAATCACCAACATGTATATTGATCAGCAACATCTCTTGCACAGATTACAGGGCCATCTCTCCATCAACTTCTTTGCCCTCTCAGAGGCAGACGGTTTTACTGTTGTGAGAGCGAAATCCTGGCCTCGACAATGTCAACAAAGCCAGGATCTCATCCCTGGTTTTCCACCACGAGTGCTTCCTCTTCTGTAAAAAGGCTGGCTATGGGGTGGCTACTGCTGTTTCTTTCTAGGGTTCCTCTGAGGAAGAACAATCCCCTCCAAAAAATGCAGAGATGTTTTCAGAGGCAGACAAACAGATGAAGAGTGAAGGGGTGGTTGGAGAGGGAAAAGCCAGCCACACAACAATCTGACTTCTTCTAGAGAGGGTTAAGTACTAAATACCTCTTACTGGGTCACTTAATGATGGATGGTAGTTAGTGGGGGTGGGGTAAAGCTGACTTCCAGCCCTGCATCACTAAACCGTTCATTAGGAAAAACACACACAATGGAAAATGGCAGAGAGGCTCAAGTGTCCAATTTCTCTCTTGAACTCTCTGAACAGGAGGCTCCAGTCAGGGGAATCCCTGCCACCCTTTCTCCCCCTCCTTCTCTGGCAGTTTCTTTATTAATTAACGGAGTTGGCTGGGGACGGAAACGGAGGACAATAATCAACATAGATGGGTCTGCAGACCTATTTTTAATAATGTGCTTTGCATCTGTCCTAATTGGTATGGAAACAGTGACCTGATTGGAACGACCGGGAGCCTCTTGGGGCCTTTCTTTCTTCCTTTCTCTCCCTCTGTTTTCTTTTTTGTTTGGTTGAAGTTTGACTTGGTGGGAGTGGAGGGGCCAGTGGGTAAGAAATATAAAACCTAACCTTAGGGGCTGTTCACAGGCCAGGGAGTGGAGAGGGGTGACGTACTGGGGAGTATGGGATGTGGGGGCAGGGAGGCCTGGATTGGAAAGTCGGGCATAAATGCCTCCAGGACAGAGAATCTAGCTGCCCCGAGGAGCTGAGGCCGAGCATGGGAAGGAAGGGACAGCAGCTCTCTTGGTTTAGTTGATGATGTGGGATATGGTGGGTTTTTGGGGTGAGACAAGAAAAGCTCAGGGACAAGAGGAGCACCCCAAGAGCCAGTCCTTGCCTTGCTGTGTAACAAACATGCATGCAGTGAGAGAGAGCTCCTGTCTGCAGGAGATTTAAACCTGAAATGGGCAGAGAGGAGAAATGGATTATTTGGTATCAGAAGGTGGCTTAGGAACAAAGGTGGCACAGAATCCTGATTCCCCCAGTGCTGTGTGAGCTATCTACCAGATCACAGATATAGCTGCTGTAATGGCTTAGACAGTGCCCTGAGGAATCCAGAACAAATGCTATGTGTGAACATGCACACAGGGACTATGCCTGTATGGGTAGATGGGACAAAACTTTGAATATAATTGTTGTATGTTCTGTAAGGTGGTGATATTTACCTGTTGCAGCTGCTGACATTCTTAGCGTTTGCCTGTTCACACAGGATGCCTGTTGGGGTGGGATTGCAGAGGCTGAGCCCTACTGAGCGAAGTGGCAATGTGTCCCTGTGTTCTCTCAACACAGATGTGCTGTCTGTCCTGCAGCTGCCTGGGGATGCAGTTGAAACACTGCTTTCTTCTTTCTCTCACCTGTTTGAATAGCTGGCAGTAGACTCTTGCAGGCTATGTTTGTCCCCTCTGCCTTCCAGTGTGTTCACATCTCTGGAAAGTAGCTCATGAGCCTTGAGCATTTGGAAGATCACCTTTCTCTATATAGCCATAGTCTCCAGAAGAACTGAATTGCAAGGAAACTAGAAATCTGTCCCCATGGGGAGGATGGAACTTGTGTGCCCAAGCTGAGGAACTTGTCACCCAAGTGACTTGTCACCCAAGTGACTTGTCACCCAGGGATCATGCTGGGTGTTTTTGGATTGCAGCCTTGATGGCAAATTACTGCCTTGCAACTTCACTTTCTATTAAAAGCTTGTGTGTGTACACACTGTCAAATAATGGATTGAACAAAACAAGACCAAACTCTGAAATTACAATGAAATAAAAGTGATTTTCATATAGACTAGGATAGAAATTGGACATTATTTAAAATAAAGCAAAACAGTCAGGTGGATGGATGGATGGACAGAGAGATGGAAGGATTGGCTCTAACAGACATTGTCCCTAAAGTAACTCAACATTTCAAAGCCTGGCCATTTTATTTTGAGTACTACAGCAATTGTTTTTTCCTGTAAGCCCCAGCTCCTAGAATAAATTATTATAACTGAGAATCTTAGCTTTCTTTTGAGGAAGCTTGCTATACTGGCTATGTAAAACTTGAAGAAATGGTGTTATTTCCCTCAAAAAGATCAGAATAAGAGGCTGAGAACAAGTTCTCCCACATCTATTGTCTTTAACAATAATAATAAATCTCTGACACTTTTCTCCAATCTCTGTTTTGTGAGGCCTTGCTTGTTAATTTGGGCATCCATGGAGATATTGCTAAATTCAGGCTCTGTTTATGGATGGCAAGTCTGGGCATCTGTGGTATATATAACCCTGCTTGTAAAGAGGAAGGAAAGAAAGAAAGAATGGAAATGTGAAATGTAGGGGGAGCAGGCAGTGAGCTGCTGCCACTGTGATGTGTGAGGAGTTGGCCAGGTCCCATGTAAATCAAGGACAAAGTTGACTAATTTCCTGGGTCGGTCATGGTGAAAATATCACATTTCATGGTTTGTTGCCGATTCATAGAAAAATCCTATTAAAACCGGGCAGATTACTTATACAATTTAAACAAATGATGATCAAAGATTATAACACGTTCTGTGAAGAATGAAAAGGAATAGAAATGAATGTGCATGTGGTGAAATGGGGCCAGGTGGGGTTTTGCATGCAAACTTGCTATTTTAGCAGTGTTGGGGGCATTGCGGATGGGGGAGGATGCAGGCAATTGGCGGGTACCCCGACCCTTTTTTGAGTAGGGCTGCTCGGCGCAGAGCATCGCTGTCCGCCCGGCGGGGAGGGGCCGGTCGGGGCTGGGCCCCGCGGGCAGCAGAGGGCGCCGCAGGCCGCGGTTTGAGGCCGGCAGGAGCGCCTGGGATCCCAGGAAGCGGGAGGATAGGATGGATGCGGGGATGGAGCCGGGGGTGCGGCGAGTGGCAGCGCGCTGTCCGCCGAGGCGGTGCGGCCGCGCGGCGCAAGCTCAGCCCGACAAGGAGTGCAGGTGTGCGCTGCCAACCCAAACAGCGCCATGCCAGAGACCCCAAACCCGCGCTGCCCAGACCCCAAACCCGCGCTGCCCAGACCCCAAACCCGCGCTGCCCAGACCCCAAACCCGCGCTGACTCTCGGCCCCGTTACTGCACCACGGGCAAGTCGCTCAGGAGGAAAAGCCTAACCTGAAACCCAGCAAAGGTTAGGGTGAGAGGCAAAAATGAGTTCTACATCTCAGCAAGGCAAGGTTTACACTAGAGGTAAACCAGGCTGTTATTGATCCCTGCATAGATGTGTCCTCCAATGCCTCGTCACAGTGAAGTGTGTTAAACCTTCACAAGACCTCCACAAAGTGTCAAATTCAACAACTGTACACTGAAGAAAAGAATGCAGTGGCATAAACATATGTTTATATTGTAAAGACAAGTGGCTTTGTGAAGTGGTTGCTAAGGTGGAGATGAAATGAGTAAACAGAAATGTGTCTCCAAAGAAAATTATAGAAATTTTGGCAAATACAACAAAATGATTGGCACTGGGAGCAGAAAAAGGCAGGGTTTGGTTTTTTTGTTTGTTGGTTTGGTTTTTAAGGCAGATTTCCATATTTCACTGTGAAATTGCCACAGCAGACAAGGCAGAATTTGGTATTTTCCCGTGCACTGCTGAGCATCCTATCCCAAAGAGTAATACACATGAAACCGACCATAGTGTTTTTCATAGCCTGTGTGGCTTGGAAATTAGGCTTAGATAGTTTCTGACATCACCACTCATTTTTTACTTTCTCAGGCTAAACACACTGAAGCAGTATACCACTGATGTTTTTGTCACAAGGCTTATTTTGCACAGCTGCCTGTCCAAAGTCCTCTTCTGAAGCTTTCCCAAACACTGGTGTGTCTGATAGAATAGGCAAGACTCAATGATCTTAAAGGTCTTTTCCAACCTAAAAGATTTTATGACAGTGTGAGAATTCAGTTGTGTTTGAAATTTAGGGATGATGTGTATGGATTTACTGATACTGGCTCTTCTTTTTTTATCTCTGAATCCAGAAAAGTGTAGCAATAAACTTGTCTCTGCATGGCCTTCAACTCCAGATCCAAACCCTAATGCCATCTATAACCCTAGGGTTGTCCAGAGCCAAGGTAGCCATGGCTTCCTAACAATTCAGCATAACATATTTAAACATTATGACAGCTACCCTTAACTTTTTTTCAAGGACCAGAAAAATAAGTACCGAAACCTCCCATCATGAATCCTGCAACCAATCCAAGCCATAACCTTACTGATCATTGTAACACAGGGATATAATGCTGCCCAGAAATTAAACATGCATTTGAAGCTTACCAGCCTTTTATTTTACCACTGAGGACTTGTGAGAGTTCTGCAATGGAGATATGATGCTGCAGAGCCTCCTGTCCCAAACCATAAATGTTGGCTACTTGCAGTATCATTTATGGCTAAAGAACCTGTTGATCTCTGAACACTGACTTTGAAAAATTCAAATCCACTGAGGCAGGCTGCAATCCTCCCGCAGGCTGGACAGGATTCATCAGTAAGCCTGGCTGCACAGAACTGTACACTGAATCTTAGTTTTAGTCCTCACTTTATTCCTGGCACGAGTGATGGCCTAGAAATTCAGTTATGTCCAAAAGTTAATCGGAAGATGTTTAAATATGCTGATACTGATTTTGCCACTTATCTTACCTCAAGCAATGATGCCATTCCGGCTCCAGCGTTGATCATGGCTCAGTAACCCCATTCTGTCTGACAATTAAAAATGATACATTTTAATCTACTTATCCCTGAGCAGGTTTGGCAGAATTGAGCAACAAAAATTGTTTAGCAGAGCCTCGTTTCTGGAATGCTAAGCTAGAGCCTAATTGTAATCCTAACCCTGCTTTGACCTCTGCCCAGACACTTGCCATCAGTGGAAAATAAAGAATAAATATTTGACTGCAGCAACACTAACTTTCATCCACTTTTGTCAGTCTTAAAGATTTAGACAATTAATTTGCCCCTCTAATCTCTCTTGTTCCAGACTCTATCCCCAACTCTAATCCTACTTTTGATGACAGCTTAGAAACCCAGAATTTGGCATTCTCATCTAGTAGTATTAGACCTTGGCTTTCCTCTACAGGTCTGACAGAGGTCAGTAATAAATTTGGTTCTTCAGATCCTGCTGTCCCTAATTGTAACTCAAATCCCAAACATACTAGCATTATACACTATACTGGCATTGCCACCAGACAGTGTGAATCTACTTGTTCTAGCCTTATCTTATTCTGCAGAATTCAGCAAATATCCAGCTCTCTGTCCACATCTCTTTAATCTTGTTCCTAACAAAAATGCCAGACTTTACTACAGGCCAAACATTTTTCCCTTGCTTCAAAATGAAGAATAAGACATTTGAGTCTACTGACACCAGAGTGCTGTGTTTGCATGGTCAAGGGAGAGCCTTGCACCTGAGATATGACCCTACTTAACCCAAGCTGTCTGAGTGTACAGATAATCTGTGTATTCAGTGATTTGACTACGGAGAACTGGAAATTCAGTTTTCTAAAAATAAGTGATTTCACCCCTTGAGTGGTGAATAAATAACTTAATTTCTATGTATTCAAGAGGAGTTGATGCTGATTTATGCCAGCTGAGAGTTCTGGTCTGGTACATACAGATCTTTACAATAGAAAGTACATAATGCTACTCAAGGCCTAAAGGATCCTTTTACTTTTATAGCAAAGGTTGTGTATAGCCTTGTTGAGTAAAAACTGAGAATAGTCTATGAACAAAATGTGCTGTTGGCTATATCCCATGCCTCTGCTAGGCTTGTGTATGTTTTATTCTGGCCAGAGGGTGTGAGCTAGCACATGGGAATAGCAGCTGGAGAATAAAGTGGGAGTCATGGCACTTGGAGGAGTTGAAGGAACAACTGCAAGTATCCCTATTTTTAATTCAATATCAAATATAGTGGCATTGGCATGTCAGATGATGACCTATTCCAGTGCTGCTGATTACATTTGTGACATGAATGGCCAAAGCAAGGAACTTGGGACATTGGAATTGTATTTTACAGAGGACTCCTAGTGTTAATTTTTGTGATTAAATGTCATCTTTCTTGACAAAATGCCACCTGATGTACATGAATTTTGGACCAAAATGCTGAACTAAGAAACTGAACTGGACATTATTTTGCTTGTTCGCTTTTGAGGATTGATGTGACTTCCACTTGGTTTTCAAGTAGGCAGTCAGGCTTGAGTGGGAAAGGCTGTTGGTCACCATCGTGTTTTGGATAGGGCAACCCTGTGAGAAGGTGGTGCTACTTGAGGGTAAAATAAAAGAAAATGCACATTAAAGTTGGAGAGCAAGTGAAAGCCACAGATAACTCTTTTCTTGCCTCATACTACGAATAAGCATCTTCCAACAGGGATGCCTTAGTGTAGCAAAGCAGTCTTCAAAGACTTGTGCTTATGCAGTGCTTAGAGAACGTGATAAGGGCCCCTCACTTGATATAGCCAACTTACCACCATGGCTGTTTTGATCCAACATTTTGTAGACTTAGCATCGTGTTCATTTCACGTTAATGGTGAGTAAAGCTGATTAGCTGCTGTTTTAACTGCAGGTAACTCGTCGTTATTGGCAGGAAACATGTTTCATCTGCATAACAGTTTCATGTGAGCAGTGGGGAACATTTTCTATCAGCGTTTGTTGATGTGAAACATGTTTCTTAGTGGAATTATGTTTGCTTGGGACTGGAAGAGAACTTGATTTTCATCCTTAACTCCAACTAGAAAAACTGAATCATGAGAAGGTCCTTTTTGATTCTTTCCCAGCAATGGTATTTTCATTATTACTTTTAATGCATCCAAGATTGGTCTCTATCCTGTTTGGTATACACAGATAGCTACAGAAGCTAGAATCAACCTTCTTAATGCTACCCAAAATATATAAATGTCAGCTGCATACACAGGCTGGGATAAGATGAAGACTAGTTCCAGAGACATCGTGTCATACAGTGGTCCCTGACAGCCATGTTCAGGTGGAGCTTGAGCTCTGTAGGGCCCCAGTGAAGAGGTGAGGCAGGTACAGGTAAGCAGTGTATGTCCTTTTCTAATCCTGGCAATGTCACATTCCTTCTCTCTTCTTATATACCAAGTGGTCCTGTACATACTTTTTTTTATTTTTTAATTTTTTATTTACCATAATGGCACCTACCAAAGCTCTATGCAGCCAGGAGCATGAGTTTTGAAACTGAGAGAATAGTAAGGCTTACTTTTTAAGAAATATTTTGCTTCCTTTATTTGCTTATGCTTTCCAGATAGTGAAGCCTAAAGAAGCAATGTTTGGGTCAGTATCTTTCCAAAAATGCTGTCTGCCATATAATAACTAATTACATTGCCAGAGTAGTGCCTGTCATTCTGAAGAATCTCAAAGCACACAGTCATCCTGAATTATGAGAACTAATGCATAATATGACTGTGTCATCAATAAATACCGAGAGACTCTTTTCTTAAGAGATATAGCCTTTGCTGGCCTAGAAGATGGAAGTTGCTTAGGAGTTTGCAATAGAATTACACAAATGTTTCAGTGAGTAAGCAGAGAAGAATTACCTGTTTGATATAAATCAGAAAAGGAATTTAGGAATATAGTTGCCTTGCAACTTAGTCATTCTAAAGAAAGAGTTTTTGTTTGCCCCAAGCTAAAAAACTTATGTAAGGGTATGGCTTCATTATTTATGTGACAGAGGCAGCCTCTTGATTCTTGACAATCCAGGAGTTTAATTGTTTCCAGGTATTCATTTATACTGAGGGATGTCCTTGTGCTTAAGGCCTTGCAGTCACAAAACAGAGTCCCAGAGAAGCTTTAAGTCCAAGCATGACTTGGGGAAAAATTTCTGATTTTGCTGACTTAAGTCAGGGAAACCACTCATTCACTGCTGCAAGCCTCACTTGCCAGCATATATTTGTATTTCTGGAATGCCAAGGATCCATATTACCTATGAAGGCATTGCCATGGTAGGCAACATACGAATGCAGAACAAACAAAAGATGATTGCATGCTTTAGAGCTCTAGCAGTCTAAGACAGGAGATTATGACCTGGGCAAATGATTATAACTGACACCAGAGAAGCCAGTGCTTGTGCTTCTGCTTCTGATCAAACTTGGATAAAAATCCCCCAAAGCAACAACCGACAAAAAAACTCCAAAACAAACAAATAAAAAAAACCCAACAAAATCCAAACCAAACCAAAAACAAACAAACAAACCAACCAACCCCAACACCCCCCCAAAAAAAACCCAAACAAAAAAACTCAGGCCAAAATACTGATCCACTTGACCTATTTGTACAGAGGGAAGAGTTAAAGAACAAAAGCCCATGGAAAAATCTAAAATCATCATCTCTTCAAATGGTCTCAAGTGTATGAGTAGAAAAGAGGAGAGGCAAAACAGCAGAGAGAATCTGAAGCTTGGACTGCCTTGTTTTTCCATAATTTTTCTAAGATATGTTGGAGACTTTTATGCATTAGCACAGTGTTTGGGAATGAATATTTGTTCAGTGAGATATGACTCTCCCATGGCAGAGCAGTGAAATATAGGATATTTTGCTTGTTGGCAGCAGATTTCTGGCTGTCTACGTTTTTATTAGTGCAGGTTTTTCTATATGAGTGTAGCTATTTATCTAGCAAGCAGGGCCAGCAGATAGAAAGTTGAAGAGAGAGCCAGCACAGTTCTAAGCCATGTCAGTAGATAAAAACCCTTAAGGCGAAATATCTACAGGATTGGGCCATGTGCCTGAATTATGGGAAATGCTGTTATATTTTCCCAGTCACTTCAATATCCTGCAGTTCTTGCACTTCCACAAACACAGTTTAATGCAGCTGATACAATGCCGTACTGAGGATGTGTTGCCAGCTACCAGTGTTCAGTCTTGGACCTTTTAATTCCTGAGCTAGAAGATGGAGCTTTTTAGTAGAGGTTGTAACATGCTGATGGCCTTTGGTATTTTGCCTATTTACCACCAGAGATGGTCAGACAGTTACCTCAAGGGGCTTTGTACACCAGCATCTGTAGTCTGCTGGTCTGGTCTGACTGCATGGTGACAGTGGGGCCAGGGAATCCAAATAGGCAGCCTGATTATCTGGAATAATAATCTGTGATTGTCAGGATTAAATCCCACACTGGGGTGCTCTCTGATGGTAGAGGGAATTTTGCTTGATTATAAACTGAATCAGACCTGTGGGACCTGATCTTTTATTCATAACACTTTGCATGTGTGGCAAATGCTCTTGGAGGTAAGCAGATGCATTACTACAGAGGGAAGCAAAGGCTACCAAGTGAAAGAGCAGAGTAAGAAACCAGCAGTAGTATCCTCCTTATTTCTAAGGTGATTCCCTTAACTCTTGATGTTTTGCTTGAATAGCTGCAGAAAACAGAGCAGAAAAGGCAGTCTTTGCTCCCTGGATTCAGAGAGGAGCTGTTAAGATAAAAGACAACAGATGATGAGAATAAGACATGGCTTGGGCAATGTATGGAGGTTGTCTGAAATAGCCCTAAACAAATGGGATGAAGTTTTTTGAAAATGTCATTATAAAGGACCTTGCAGGTGGAGACCAGTGAAACAACCTAAGGGCAGCTAAAAGGAGCTCTGTTCCTTCATGAAGGGCAAACCTGGGAGGGGGCACAAGGACATGGATTTGAAGATCCAGCAATTAACAGTGGGTATGGGAGTAGAGGTGGGTAAGAGGCAGGACTTTCTTTTCTTGCCTAAAATAAGAGGTGTTGAGTATAGGTAGCAGTGAAGTCCTTGAGAGGGAAGACAAGTAGCTTCTGATTGCTATGTTAAAGAAAGTAAAAGCAGAGAGGTATGAAGGGAACGCAGGTGTAGTAACATGTAGGCTAGGAAGGTCAACTGTGCAGTAACATAGCAGAAAGGCACAGCAAGTTTCCAGGTCAGAGACATGATGTCTATAAAACTTAGTGGTTATGTGGACTCCATAGTTATATCTATGTCTTGGATCATCTAGAGGCTCTTCCTTCATACTCTGTTTTTAGCTCCTGTTTTAATTTGGTATGACCTGAATATGATGTGCAGCCAAACTACTATGCAAGTCAAACAAGTAGGATCAAAGTGATCTTAAAAGGCCTTTACATAAAAGCATGTAATCCAACTATTTAGTCAGGGATGAAAGTATACCAGTATGGAAGTAAACATGCAGCATCTCAGGATCTGCATGTTTATGTTTATGTATATGTTTAAATATACTACAGTTTTTAAGCAGCTTCTAGCATGGTCAGATTATAGCCTCTAGCTGGGATATAGACTGTAGGGGAAGCACTGTTGTTATGCCCAACTTGGGGAGATACTGGTTTCTGATCAAGTTCACTGGGGCTACCATCTAATGTAACAATAGCAGAACAAGAATAATTTGTAAAGCAGTTTGAAATCATCTAACAGAAATGGTGCAGTTGTACAACTGTATGACTTTGATATTTTGCACTTATCGTCAGCCTTGATTTCCTTTTACAAACATTATGCAACATTTTCCTTAATGCTGCTACAAATACAGAGCCATTCCTACTAGTCCAGACCACTCTTATGTAGCTTGCCCTATGACAAGTAGGGTTGTTTTGAAGTATGCAGAATTCCAGAAGGAAACAGAAATACCAGCCTTTGTATTGTTGTAATGAAAATAGGTACATATATGAGTCAAATATATAAATGTATTTCTGTAGTTAGTTAGGTGATTTAAAATATCCTTGTGTTTTATAACAGTGCAATCTGTGTGATTCACTCCACATGACATGAAATATCAATAAATAGGCTTGTAGCACCTGAAGGTGGTTTATCTTGTATTTTGGTACAGTTCTGTTTTCTCTATATTCCCTATTTTAGGGTTTATTTCTGGAACACAGTTTGTATTGTTTAGAAACTCAGACTTGGATTCTTTAAGAAACAGACCTTTTCTGAAATATCAGGTACCTGATATATATTTATTGCCTTCAATCCTGAAAAGATTTTTTTTAATGTGTTTAGTTTGATTTCAGAATAATTGCCTAGACATATAAAATAAATTGCAGGAATAAATCTGTGCAGATCCAGAGCCCTTACTAATCAATACATCTGTTCTTCTGGATTTGTTTTCTTCATATCTGTTTCCAGAGTTGTAAATACAGAGTATTTTGGTTTGAAATACCCTATGTGAATTGTGCAATAAAAGGATTTCTCTTGTGAGATTAAGGTTGCAACAATAATGACAACTGCAGTATTAATGGGCAAATTTTAAAATGATAGCTTTCATTCATGTCTAAAGCATTTTTGACATCACCTAAGCATTCAAATTCACCTTTCTTTGGGTAGAGTAAAATGCTATATGTATCAGCACATACCAGTACACAAACAGCTCAGAGTTTTAACAGCAGGCAATAAAAAGTACCAAAGCTAGTGAATCATTCAGAGCTACTTAAGTGGCTGGCTAACATGGTTTGTGCTGGAGTGTGAAGAGCCCAATGCTGTGACATCACGATCCTTGTGCAGAATCCAAGTTCTGTAACCTACAGGTGGTCAGGTTTGCCATTGCAGATCATAGCTCATGAGTTTTGTCATGGCTATGTGGAATCGAGGCTTGTGTAGAAGGGAGGCTGGTTTTGTGCTTAAGTCACTTAAAGAGGACTCAGTAGGACTGTTCTGTGACCTGGACAAAAATGTATTTATCTCATGGTCATTTTATAATATGGGGCCTTATGCAGGGAATCATGGACTTGGTCCTCATTGAAGTGAGCTTGCTCTTAATGCTGAACATAGGCATAAGCTCTTTTTGAACAGAAATGAGAATAAGCTTGGGCTTACATGACTTTTCTGACTTGGGGTGCACAGCACATGTATCTGAGATGGTTATTTCATTGCTGTTGAAGTGACTCTTAAACATAAACAGTGAGACACTGTGTCCAATCCAATATAGAAGTCCAAGCCAGTCCTCCTTTGTTATCATAGCATTTGCATTCTTGTTCTCAAACTTGTGTGGTTTTGGTTTACCTTTTTTGGTTGGTTGTTTTTTTCTCTTTATGCAGGATTTTTTCCTGACTGCTTATGTCCTGTTTTTCTCCATTCTTATTCTAGCAGTTTTTACTAGTCTTGATATCTTGTTTCATGATTTTTTTCCTGTAGTTGTCTGATTCAGAGGGACAGATTTTGTGCACTGTATCAGGACTGGTGGCAAGTATCCTGCATTCTAGTTTAAGGTTAGAAAGAGAACCCTTTGGTGGTGAGGAGGAACCATGACATTGAAGAGTAATTTCATGTCAGAAGGAAGTGAAGATTCTGTTCACAGCAACACTAATGTCTAGTAAAGTCAGAGAAATTGTTCTTCATTTATGTAGAGGTCAGAGCCTGAGCCTTTACAGGAAGACTTGCTTGGGAAACAAGTCTTTAACTTCAGTTGAGTATCTGAAATGGGAGTTTTGTTCTACTTGAAGCAGTTGTAAGTGAAAGGAGGTGAGTGCTTTTGTGGAAATTCTCATGTGGGTGTAGCAGTGACTGTGCAGCCACACCAGTGCCTGCTGAGTCTGTGAGAATATATACATCAGTGTGAGACTGTGATCTGTGAGCTGTGCATAGCTGAGTGCCAGAATGCAGTGGTGAGAGTCAGTGTACCTGCCTGTGTGACACTGAGGGCTGTGAGTACCTGTGGGGGGACTTATCCATGTGACTCTGTGTGGTGTGCAATGCGCAAATGTTGGCCCATCTGCGCATCTATGCTGGTGCACAAGCATGTGAGTGAAGCACATATGTGAATATGTATGTTACTGCAGGGGAGAACATAGCCATGAATGCATATGTGAGCATGAGTGTGAGCATTAGTATATTTCCAAGTGCAGACCACGTGAATAAATGTATGTAAGTGAATGTGTACGTTACTAGATGGTCTTAGAGAGATCTTGTCCATTTCTGTAAATGTATTCGTTTTAAAGATGAAAAGTGGCCCAGCTTGGCTTTAGCCTGGGCATCACCCCTGAGTGCGCAGTTGCTATGCCAGCTCAGTGTGTTTGTGTGCTCTTGTGAGAGAGTTGGTAATTGTGAGCGCTCCCTAAGAGAATCTCTGGGGCCAGGGGATACAATAGGCAAGGGTCTAGGGTCTGAAACTGTAGACTTTAATAAAGCCACTGACAGCAAATAAGAGCCTGACATGTGAGTCACATTACTGACAACAAGGGCTGCTTTGTAGTCCCATCTGCACCCTGATCGGGTCCCGTACAGTAACTGAAAGGACAGAACAAACTGCTGCTGCCTTCAATAAATACAACAGTGCCACAAAGGCAGCCGAACAGACCAACTTTGTGTGGCTTTGCTGCAGCTGAGCTACTCTCCTAGCTGTCTTCCTCGCCTCCCCCACCAGTGAAAATGACTGACGTTACCTCGTAAGGGTTGCTTGAGAGCCCTGGCTATGTGCTTGGCCCCATGGCAGTCATTACATACAGCCCTGGAACATCTCTCTTCCTTGCCACCCCCTGTGCTACTTCATAGCCTTTCTCTTTATCTGCCCTCAGTGACTGGGAGAGGCCCAGAGCCATGTCCCTTGGACTTGCTGCCCTTGCCTGGCTAGGCAGCACTAGGAGCTTAGCAAAACCTTACTTCAGGCTACAAGCATAGTTATTTGAAATGTTTCTTGAAATGTCATAGTAACTTGCATGGTTACTCCAGACTTCCACTGGAGTGGTCATGATGAAAATGTTGGACTTGCCAGCACAGTAACTTCAAGGCCTTTCAGACCCCGAGTGGTTGGTCACCCACCCAGCCCAAGTAGCATCAGGGGATGACAGTGTTTTCTATTTATCCAAGTGTCACCTAGCATAGTCAGAAACCTTTTTTGCTGACTGCCCTCAGGGCCTCTTACTCTTCCCTCGCTCTGGGCCTCTCCCCTTGGGCTTGGAGACTTTCCCAGTGAAGAGCTTTCACATGGAGAAAAAAAGATCCCCCTTCAATTGGAATTTGTGCCACTGTTGTGTCTTTCTCAGTGCTTTTCTGGCCACTCTTTTTTAGTTTGTCCCAATAGCCCTAGAGAAAGGGTGCTTGTGGGACCCAATGGCATGTGTTGTCGTGTACTGAAAGAATGTTATAAACCCTGGGAAAGATTGCTGGGTTATAAATCAAAATATAAGCCTGTGGTTGCCAAAGGGGTGATGTTAAGTATCAGGATAATGTCTGTGACAGTGCAGGTGTGCCTCTGATGTCTGTCCTAGCCCAGAGCATGTCAGTCCACCTAGCAAAAAGTCTAAATTCTCCTCTGCTTGAAAAAAAAGGAACATAAGACTCAAGAGTTTATGCCTGTCAGAAACTCTGTGTACTTCTACATCATGTAGTGCACACAGAACTGAGTTCCCTGGAGGTGAAGGTGCACCCCATGTGGGACTGCTACCCCACACATTCACCCTGTGCTTCTACAGTGTGCAGTGGAGCCTGTAGGCTGCCCTGTCAGTGTAACATACCCACTCTAATTGACATTGTCTTCAGACAAGAAGATCTCAACCGTAGTGATTTGTTCCTAAGGTGTAAGACTTACCTACCTTAAAGGTCAGATTTTTCATCTGGCAACTAGTATATTGGAGCTTCTAGGAACAGAACGTGCTTGAGGTGGGATGCAGCAGATCTTTCCTTGGAAAGGAGATTAGACTTCAGGGAGCAGATGCATTCAGTTTCTCAGCATCTTTAAGAAATCCTACAAGACAGTCTTCTGTGAAAAATACCTCCCTGTGACTCTACATCACCTTCTGTTCAAGCAAGCATTTCAGATAATATTGAACAAAGGAAAGTACAGACCAATATAATAAAAATGACCCTGAGATTAGCTCAGTTGGTTTGAACATGGTGCTGGATAACACCAAGGTTGTGGGTTTGATCCATGTATGAGCCATTAATTTAAGAGTTGGACTTGATAATCCTTCGAACTCAGAATATATTCTGTGAAATCAGCAAGAACTAAGAAGTAATAATATCATACAGAGATGTATGCAGAAGAGAGAGAGGATTTCACTGATGTCACATAGAAAATGCCCAGAGAGGCAATATTTATAGGAACAGCTTGCGATGATGTTTTGCATAACACTGTGATATTTCTCACAGTTAATGTCTGGACCTTCTGCTAGAAATTTCTATTCTCTCTGTATCAATAACATATAAAGGATTAAACAACACTGTTTTGAAATCCCCTACATAGCTGAGAGGCAGCAGCAGAAACTTAAAGTCCCATAGCAAATGTGGTCTGTACTTTTTAGGGAAATGTCTGGAATTTTCGAAAAGAAATTTAGAGCATCTAATGTCATTGTTAAAAGGGAACGCTGATTCCCCAAATCTAGCTCTGTGTTTTGATCACATAACAGGCTTTTGCTTTGGTGTCTAGGCTAAGACCTGGACAGGGCAAGACCAATAAACATGCAGTCCTTCTATCTGATGGTGTGTGTCAGTCTCCTCAGTCCTCACCTCTGCTGAGTGCTTGTAGAGGCTTCAGCAGAGGGGGCACAACTGGCTAAACTATGAAATAACTCTCAAGCATGGAGTCTACTGCAACAGCACCTGTGCCTTCCTCTGGAGTCTCTCCATCTCCTGAACAGGCAGGGCCTGGGGGAATCCTCTTTCTAGTAGTTTGATACCTGAAGAAAAGTGTTTCCTAGAAGGAGATGGAAGGATGGAGCCCTGAAGCACAGGAAAATCATGTTGTCCTGTGGTAGAGAGAAAGGGATCTGTGTGCATGTCTACCACAGCTCTAACCTGCTTTTATGTTTTCTTTAATTCATGTTGTTTCAATTTAAAAAAGATGCTGTCATAACTGGGGAGAAATTAGGTAGTTGCAACACTGTATATGAAGCTGAACAAAGGAATTGCCTGAGGGTCTTGCGGGAGTGGATACTCTACCTTACAACCCTAGAATGCAAAAGCTTTGTATGTAGGAAAGAAGCTATTTTAAAAATCTTTATCAGGCAAATCGGATATTTTGTGGAGTGCATGTTAGGGTTAAAGCACAGGTATTGTACAAATGAGGAAGCAGCAAATGAGAGACACTGATGAGAAGTGCACTGTCTAGGAAGGCACTACTTGCCTGGTGGAAACAGTTGCTAACAAGACTGGATAGAGAGGGAGGAATGGGTGGGAGAAGTGGTCTGGGGTGTCTGTGTAGCAACACATCCAATAGGTCAGCTGCAACTTGGTGCCACCTGGGAGAGCAGCTGAGAAAGTCCTGAGACTTGGCATAGACATGCTGGATTGTGTGTTACTGCAAGTAGTAGGAAGCCACTCACTGCCTCAGCTGTTCCTGTACCAGGAAATCTAAGAGGAGAACTTTAGATTCTTCTTGTTGTACTTTGAGAAAGGTGCAGTTGGTAATTATTTGAACTCATGCTTTTCCTTTCCATTTCTTGATTTCTTTTCTCCATTCATTGAGGAACTGGTTGGTTAGGTCACTGGAGAAGTGACCTGGAGAAGTGACCTGCTTCTG